ATATACTGATAATACAACATAAAATACGTATAAAAACACGACATTGCATGTTTAGGTTGTTGAAAACCTTAAGTGATTGCGCCAAAGATGGTTTCAACGTCTCACAAGAACACAATCAAATGGTCCTCTTTGTTGATGCTTTTATTTGGTTTTTTTGCCGGTGAGTTTTTAATTCATTTAATTTACTTTTCAATTTAAAACAAAATAATATATATATATATTAAATAAATTTTAATTTTAATTTTTTTTAAATTCAATTTAATTTAATTTTATGTTTAATGAAATTTTATGTATTTGAATTTTTTTATTGAGTCTCCAAATTTACTTTTTTTAAATTATAATCGATTAACTTTTAAACAAAAAAAAAGAAAAAAAATTACGACATATTTTTTTTTGTTTAAAAGTTTATTTATTATTGCTTAATTTTTACTTATATAATTTTTAAAATTATTTATGAATTTAATAATTTGAATTATTATTATTAAAGACATTTATTTTAGGAAAATGGTCTCTTCACTAGTAGTGAGTCTTTTTGTTAATATTAAATAAATGCTCTCTCTCTCTCGCGCACACAAACAAAATTATTAAATATTGTCTAAAAACTTGATGCGTTTGTCTTGGATTTAAATTTATTTTTTTATATTTTTACATCGAAACAAAAAAAAAGAAAAAAGTTTATTTACGTAAATTAATATTTCTTTGATTTCTTTGATTTTTCATATTGATTTGTATTACTTTGTTTTTGAAAAATAATTTAATTTTTTTTTTTTTTTTGGTATATTGAAAAAATTTTTTAAACTTTCATAAACACACAGAAAGTATATGTTTGCCTGTTTAATATTTATTTGAAATTTCACGATGTCATTTATTTTTTCTATACCAGTTTTATTAATTTTTTTTTTTTTTGTCGAACCTGTTAAAAGCAAGTTTTTTTATTTTTATTTAATCTGTTATTTAAACGTAAATTTTTATTCTTATTTTTACTATAAATTATTTCTTTGAGCGCCATGCGTTTATAGTTGTTTTCACTTAGTTTGCGTAACAATCATTTCCCTTTTTTTTTTTTTTTACAAAAAAAAAAAAAAAATGTTTTCTTTAATGAAAACAATTTTCATTTGAATTGAAAAATAAATTAAAATTATTTTTATAATTGATTAGATCATGTATCAGCTAACAAGGAAGGTTATTACGGGAAATTTATTGGAAAATTATCCCAACTTCATCATGGCGTGTCTGGAGACGTGTTTGCTGTAGACGCCAGAACTTTGCATCTGAGAAATTTTAATTACGATGGAGAGGGACCAGGTAACGTTTTATTTATTTATTTTTATTTTATTTCATTTTAAATTATTATTATTATTATTATTATTTTTTAATATTTAATTTTAATATATTCCAGCTGCTTATTTTTACGTTGGAAATGGTAAAGTACCCGGTGTTAATGGTATTAGACTTCGAGACGAAAGAGGAACGTAAGTAGTTTTAAATTATTATTATTAATATTTTTTTTTTTGATATCTCGAAAGTTCAAGTCTCTCTTCCCCTTTTTTTTTTTTTTTTTTAATAAAAAAAAAATAATAATAATTATTAATATTTTTTTTTTATTTTAAATTTTGTCTCTGATTTTTATCCTTGACAAAATGACAACGCCTTAACTTTTCATGGTTAACTGGTGTCATTAACTTTTGATGCGTTCTATACGTTTACGATGTCGCATAATATTATTATGTGTGATGTTTACATTAATTAAAAAATAATAATAACCCTCTCTAAAATATTGTTTTTTTTTTTTATAACGAATTTAAAAACGCTTAGCGGGGGGAAAAAAAAAAACTATTTAGGAAAACTTATTGAAATTTTTTTTAAATTTTTTTTATTTTCAGTACAAACGTTTTACCCAAATACAGAAACAAACACATAACGATCACTCTGCCAGAAGGCAAAAATTTACAAAATATAAACTGGTTTTCTGTTTGGTGTGACGAATTTTCCGTTAATTTTGGAGATGTTAAAATATCTAGAAGTTTAGATTTTCCAAAACCTCAAAAAATTTCCGGATTAAACGGAGTTCACGGAGTATCTTCCGAACCGATTGTCATCGTCGATGCTCAAACTTTACTTATTCCAAATTTCTCTTATGATGGCGAAGCTCCAGGTAAAATAAAATTTTCCGAGTCCCTTTCCATACCTCTCTCTCTCATTTAGTTTTTGTTGTTTTAATTCTTATAATTTAAAACATTTTACGTGAACAAATATTTTTCATTATAGATGCTAAATTTTGGGTCGGACCCGGTTTAAAACCCACCCCGCAGGGTATCAGAATCCCCGATGAAAATGGTAAAGAAGTTCCATTGAGACGTTACGACAGAAAGACAATTGTATTAACATTGCCTGGTGATTTGACCATATTTGACATCGGACATTTTGGAGTTTGGTGTGAAGCCTTCACCGTCGATTTTGGTCACGTACAAATACCAAAAGGACTCAACATACCTCCAAGTTTAAAAATGCTCGGTGTTTCTCCTCAGGTCAGTTAAATTATAATAATTTGGCTTACATATATATAATATTTTAAATCATAGGGTCTTACAAATAAATAACAAAAATTAAAATTTTCTGAGGATTAACCATATTATTTTTTCAAATAATTGCAATGACGGTGATAATGAAATCGAAATATTGGCCCAAATCGTTTGATGATTAGTAGGAATTGCCATTTTTTTTTTTTTTTTTGTCGCCTGTAAAACATAAAAATAATATATATATATATTTACGTATTATTTAGCTTGACTCATAAATCCGAGGTAAAAGAGTTGAGGAAAAAGCTTTTAAATTCGCTTAATTATACTAATATCATTTTTGATTTTAAAGAAAGAAAAAACGTTTGTTAATATATTATTTCCTGTTTTTTTTGTTTATCGAGGCGACGACTATAAATAAAACTCGGGTCTTTAAATATATTATTTTTGTGTATTTGCTTTACCGTAAACGCTTAATGGTAAATAAAAAACAAAAACATAATCATCATCATTATTATTATATATAGCTTAGGTAATATTAAATTTGTTTCGTTCGTCGATATCGCCGTCTCTTTTATTATTGATTACGGTTGTTTTATCAATAATTAATTTAAATGTAAACGATTCGTATAATTTGGTCATTTTTAAATTTATTTTTAATTTATTTCATTTGAAAACTCAAATTTTAATTTTATTCTAGTATTCGTTATATAAATTTTTATTATTATTATTATTATTTACTATTGAAAACGTCATATAAATTTTAAAAAATATTTAAATACTATATACGTACACACACATTATATTTTATTTTTATTTTCAGAGACATGTTTAACTAGTTGCATTTTATAGAATTTTGTATTAATAATAACGTAATTTCTACCCCCCCCTCCCCCCCGTTTTAGATGATATTTTCCAAAAAAAAATTTGTTTACTTATTTATTTATAATTTAAACGAAATTATCGTTTTTTTTTTTGCGTCATAAAATAATTTTTATTCGATTATTTTTTTTTTTGGTAAGAGAGCGAGAATTCAATTGATATAAAATAAGTGATATTATTTATATATTCAAGTTAGTAAGACTGACTACAATTTAACCTATTGGAAAAAAATTATTTTTTATTTATTTATAATTAAACATTACGCGTTTCTTTCATTATTAATATTTTTAGATCATTTTCAGTTCGAATATTATTAATTATTATTATTATTTTTTTTTAAGTATATATAATTAATACATTATGAATGACCATCACCTTAGTGTTGACCTAATTGAATTTCGACATTTAAATGGAAAATGAATTTTATAATTACGTTTTTTTAACAGGTTTCAATTTAAAAAAAAAAAAATTTCAACTAATTCACTAAACTGGGATTTTTGCATGAGGTTTTTTTTTTTCTCTTTCATTGGGTTTCTCATTTGGTTTCATATTAATGATAATCATTCATAATCACGCCTTCTTTTTTGTTCTTTATCTGTTTGTTACAGAAAAGATCATCATATGTTGCTGATCCTCTTTCTTTTCAAAAAGAATCCAATTATCACTTTGGAAGGCGACAAATCGTTCATCCGCAAACTGATTCTTTATTATTTTATCGTAACAATAATACTTCACTTTCTAACGTATTTCAAGATATAAAACCGACAACTTATAAGCCTTCGAATTTAGCAAATTTACCACCAGTGCCTAATTACAATAATAATAACGCTTTCGAAATTCAAAAATCTATTTCTTTAGGTTTGAATGATGAGTATGTTATTAACGAACAAACCGGAGATTTCGTTACGAAAGGTTTCGATTTCGAACGTAATAGTCAATCGCATTTGAGGCCAGAAAAGACTCCGGCAGAGAAGATTTTATTTCATAATCCTACACAACCCTTTTCGAATATTAATATAAACGGCATTGCTTTCAATCAGGAATCTTTAGGAGATTTTCGGAGACATCAGGTGCCGCAGCCGAGGGGCAACTTCCCACGTCACCCATTCGGACCGTCGGACGTTCAATCCTCTCGGCTCTTGCAATATTTGGTTCAGCCCGGAAGTCCCCTGGAACAAGGTTCTAACAATGCCCAGAACGGGAGACCGGGAAATCAATACTATCAAAATTTCAATCGCCGCGATCAAATCGTTCCTATACCGCCATATAATTATTTTCCCACAGATAACAGATTTGCCTTTAATCGATTTACGGGACCGGGAGGATACGTTCAAAATTATTAATAATATATATATATATATATATATATTTTCTCTCTTTCTCTCTCTCTCTCTCTCATTAACTCAATAGTATTAGTTTCGATAAGGAATTCGTAAAGAATCCGAGTGATAATAGAATTTTAAGAAAAAAAAAAAAAAATTTCTAGTTACAACATAATAAATATAATTTTTTAACAAATACAATTACTATTAGCAATCATTTAGGGAATCACCTTTAAAAAAATTATATTTAAATAAATATATTCAACGCCCAATCTAAATTCTATATGTTTTCCTTTTTAATAGCAGCAGCAACAGCATCAGCAGCATTACATTGTTACAGTATTCTTTTTAAATATTAATAATCTCATCTAACACTAAAAAAAAAAAAATTTAGGCATGAAAAAGTTACCTTTAAGACTTATCATCTTTTTTCCTACTTAATACTGTGGTCCCCTCCCCTTTGTCGTCTTGTTCATTTTGAGCCCTTGATTCCTTTCGTAATCTTTGTGGGCACAAACAGCTTTTCCCCCCCCCCTCTTTTTAAAATGGGTATCGGTTGTTAAACAATTTTCTTGTTAATGAATGGTTTCTTTTACATTCGTACACTTTTGGTGTTTTCAAGTTTTCGGTTTTTTTTTTTTATGTGTCTTTGAACTGTCATCATGGTTGACTTTAGTTTTCAATCCGTGCGAGAAAAAACCACGGCTGAACCTTTTCCAAACCACTTTCGGGTATTTTATAATTTTTTTTTTTCTTTTTTGAGGGTCATATTTCATGAAAACCTGCGATATAAAAAAAAAAATAATGTGATTCGAATAATTCCTTCTTCCCGTAATCTTAGTAAACCCGTGTGTTTCTTTAAATGCCTTCGAAATAATTAATTAATAATGTATTCTTTGTTTCATTATTATTATTATCATCATACTTAACCTTCGAAAATTCGCTGACTTTAGTATTATTAGATTTATTTAAAAATTATCAACTTTAAAAAAAAAATTTTTTTTTTTTTTATGTAAAATAATAATTTTTCATACACAATCAATAACAATTTATTTTCATTTTTCATTATACATAAAATAAAGTATTTCATATAGTAATAATAATAATAATAATAATAATAATTTTAATAAAAAATAAATGATTTTATAAAAGAATTAAAATTATTTTGTCTTGTTTCACATATATTAATATTATTTATAATTTTTTTGTTTTTTCTAAACTATCTGAAAAGGTAATATTATTATTATTTTTATTATTATCATTTTCCATCAAATGACATCAAATACCATTATCGAAAAAAAGAAAATTATTTAACCCTCAGTTTCACTTTTTTTTCAAAAAAATATTTATTTGATTGATATTTTTTTTCGTTGCGTTTGTTTTCAGTATAAATTTCCCAAAATATGTATATATATACATATGTATAGTTAATTTAGTTAAAACTAACGTGTAATTAATAAATTTTTTTTTTTTTTTGTATTTATCGGTAATAATTCTCTTGAAACTAATTTTAATTTACATTCATTTATTACATAACCTAATATTATATTAATTAAATCATTTTTCATTTTGCACGAAATTAAATAATAATAATTTTCTTCTTTTCTTCTTATTTGAATATTTATTAATATAATTTATGTAATTAAAAAAAAATTTTTTTTTTTTCTTTCGAAATTTCAGTTGAAATTTTTTTTTTTTTTTTTTACATTATTAAATATTGCGTGATAATATCTAATCAGGAAGAGAAAAACTGCATTTTTATGTTAAATAATTTTCTACACTTGCACTTGTCTTTATTTTAAATCAATTTTTTATTATTATTATTATATAATAATAACCTGGTGGTGTTTTTTTTTTTGCAGATTAAGAAATTTTATTAAAAGCGGGACGAAAATGATGAGGAAAAAAAAAAAAAAAAACCTGTTTTTATATAAAACTACGACGTTCGTTTTTTTAACTATTATAAGTTATAAAAATCATCTTAAAAATTTAATTTTTACGTAGTTTTGCGTAGTTAAAAATATTCGCCAAATTAATAAATTATATAGTTTATTTTGGCAGCTCTACTTAATCCTATAGTTAATCCTAATTCTTTTTTTTTTTTTAATCCTATGGTCGGTCCGATCTTTTAGGAAAGCAAAAATTATTTTCTTTTTTTAATTATCATTTTCCGCTGCCTACGGTTTCCCTTACAACAGAAAATAATATTTTAATGTTGTTGTTAAGGTTTTTTCGGATTTTGGTATCCGTCACATTCTTTCCTTTGCCCTACCTTAAAAAATATTCATCCGTGTTGTCAATCTATTATTAAAAATAAAAAATATATTAAATAATTTTTTACTGGCAACTCAATTGAAAATATTAATTTTTTTTTTTTTTTTTTAATAAATCATTTATGTGGATTTTTTTTAAAAATAATAATAAAATGTGAGTGATTGTAATAATAAAAAAAATTTGAATACTTCTCAATAATAATTATTTTTTTTTTTTAAAATAAAAACATGTTATGATTAATATTAATATTAATGTTAAAGACAATCATTTCATAAAAATTAAAACAAAAACAAAAGATATTATATTTAAAATTTATTTACCTTATCCGTCATGTGTCAGGACCGATTTATTAATATCACTTTAATTAAATTTCAATTGAATTCACGAGTATTAAATAATGACAAAACCTAATAAATCTATTTAAAATTAAACCGTTCTTTTTTTTTTTGTATTAAATACATACGTATATATATTATTATTATTAAAATGTAAAATAAAATAAAAACCCATGTCTTTTTTTTTCGATAAAATTATGTAGACACGTTACAGACTAACAAACAATTTATTAAAACTGTTTAATAATTTTTTTTTCCTTTTTCTTTTTCTTCTAGTCAAAATTGAATTGTGAAGTTTTGTGGGATGATTTCGCATATGAAGTTCGTTGGGCAGTTGCAGGTGACAGCATCGTTTTGCAATTGGTCGCTAAATTGGGTAAGTTTTTATAAATGCCAAACAGCAACTTTTTATTACTTAACATTTACATAAGAATCTAACAATACTATAATTATTATTATTATTATTATTATTACAACTCGTATAAACAAATTCCTCTCTCATCTTAGTATATAATTGCTAGAATTTTTTTTTCTCGATCGCCTGAGAAAAAGTTGTTTCAATCACTTACACGATTTGTAAAAATCTTTTTTCATTTTTTTTAAAAACATTTTTGTTAGGTGAATAATTTAAAAAAAAAAATTATGTTTTATTATATGTCGGCCTTTTGTTATTTTTTTACTTTTCTTTAAAAAAAAAACTTTGTCTCTTTATATATACGATAAACCTTTTTCTTATCTTTTTTTCAGAAAACGACGAATACATGTCTTTCGGATTATCCGGGGATGATAGAAAAAGTCAAATGGTAGGAGGAGACGTGGTTGTCGCTTGGGTCGATAAAAACAGTTTAAAAGGCTACGCTGAAGATTATTATTTAGATGCTAAAAGCCAATGCTCAGGTGGCAGAGGAAGTTGTCCTGATGAAAATCTAGCTGTGAGTTATAAATAAAATAATTATTTCTTTGTTTATTTATTTATTTTACTAATAATTTTTTTTTTTTTTTTTTTTTTTTTTTTTTTAATAGGAAGGTACAGGTAGCGTCAGATTATTAAACGCAGCTTTGGTTAACGGATATTCTATTGTTACATTTCAAAGACCTCTCAAAGCACAAGATGAATTCGACAAAAATTATTTGACTAATACATCTCAGTCTGTAATTTGGGCCATCGGACCTTTGAATTCTCGAAATGAAGTTTCTTACCACAGTTTGACAAATAGAGGTATGTATTTCACATCGGGAAAACTTTTTGTTTTTTTTTAATGTCGTTAAAATTAAAAAAAAAAAAAACAAAACTATCTTTTTTAAGGTGATATCTTTATCGAATTCGGTAGAGCTCCTAAATGGAATTGTCCCACTCCTGAATCTCCTTCCGATCAAACTGGATCAGAAAATGAACGCGAATATATCAGCGAACTCAAAGAAACTAAAGTTGAAGAAGTAACTAAACCGGTAATAAATCCACATTCACGCACATAATATTAAGTACACTAAAGAAAAAAAAAAAAAAAAAATTAAAATTTGAAAATTTAACTACATTTTTTTTTTTTGAAAAAATATTATTAATAATTTATAGAAAATTTTTCAGGAATCAAATTTACGGGAAAGTAATACAAAAAAAGTTATTCCCACTCCAGCACCGGCTCCAAAATCTGAAGCTTGGGAAATACCCCCAATTAAGTGCCATGAACCAGAAGATGGAGTATTTTACGCTCAAATGGGACCTACCGGAGGAAAACATGGATATTCTGCAATAACAGGTTAATTAAACGAACAAAAATCATTTTATAAATTAAAGAACTTAATTGTTTAATTAAATTTTTTAAATGTTTCAGGACACGTTGGATGGGGTATTTCATGGTACATCAATGGTTTACTTATACCGGAAATAAATGTCGTTCGAGGACGAACCTACACTTTTATTGTAGAAGGAGGACTAGATCCGGAAACTCCAGCTAGATATCATCCATTTTATATTACCGATGATCCCGTTGGTGGTTATCAATATAAAACTCCAGAAGAGAGAATCGTGAGTATAAAATTCTATTTCAATCAATCACAGAATTAAAATTTTATATAATTTAAAAAAAAAATGTTTTAGAACATTCAAATATTCGCGGGAGCAGTTCAAAATAAACGAGGAGAAGTAAGACCGACGGGAGTCGGAAGGCTTTGCAACTGGACACCGGATCCTAATCAGCCTCCAGCTGATGAATTTCATTCTTTTGGAGCATATCAAAGAACATTAAGACTCGAATGTGATGCCGGAAACCCTGGAATTATTCAATGGACCGTTGATAAAGATACTCCAGACACTGTTTATTATCAGGTACAATTAAAAAAAAAATTCTGTTTCAATCGTCTCAAACCGTTTTACTAATATTTATTTATTTTTTTTTTCCAGTGTTACACTCA